GCTTTCCCATCCATTCCTCCCATTTCTAGAGCGCTCAGACTTCCTCCGCTGCAGACCATGGTCCCTTGAGCCTGGCTTCCTCCTGCTCCCTGGGAAGGGCATTTCGGATCACAGCCCATCTGCCCTGAGAACTGGGCCCAGGGCTTCTGCAGGCACAAAAGGTTCCCGCTTGCCTTCTCCACAGGTCCGGGGGCAAGGAGGCCAGGTCAGCACCAGCTGCTGTAGCAAGGAAACCCGGCCTGGCCTGGGGGGAGGAGGGAGGAATCAACAGGGGAAGGGCGCCTGACAGCATTGTTCCCAAGATGGGTGAAGGCTCAGAAACCTGTTTGCGATTGGCATTTGCATGGACACGTCAATGGATGGAAAAATATTTCCATGCAAAATAATGAAAGCAACCCAAGTGAAAAGTGTGTTTCTTGCACACTTGCAAAGATGCAAGAAAGTGCCCTTGAGAGACGGGAGGCGTCCTGGGTGACTGAGAAGCAGTCCCAGCTCCCTGCCAAAATACCTCTCGCTACTCACCGGAGGTCCTGGTGGCCCTGGAGGTCCCTTTGGTCCAAGCAAACCACGGGGACCCTGTAAGAAGAAACAGATTTAATTCAAAGATGCCCATTGGAAGTAGAGAAGATTCAGCTTGTGTTGCACTGGGATCTGGCACCCGAGAAGACACAGTCCTGTGTGACCACTGGCTGTGACAGAAGGACCCAGCAGGAAGACAGAAGGTGGCAGGAACCCCCCATTACAGGGAGGTCCATTCCTGCTTTCTGAGTAAGGCCCTTTGACAGAGCTCCCGGGCTCTGAGTGGGCTCTTGCCACTCATTCCAGCAAGAATCTAATTTGAGCGATGAAAGGCCAACTTTCTGGTCTCCCTTGCTAAGGCCAGCCTGACTTCTTAGAAATCCTCAGGACCTGCAAGGCCAGTAGACAGACGGGCTTAAGCAGACTCACACCAGTCTCTTTGGCCCTCAGGTGAGAGAACAGTTGGCTGCCTTTCCATTACCTGAAAGGATGCAACCAACTGTTTCACAGACCCAGCAAAATTAGGTCCACCATCAGCTGAAAAATACAGAAATAAAACACTGACAGTTTTTGGCAACCAGCAGAGAGAGGTCCATTCAGTGTTCTGAATAATGCATACAAGTGGACAAAAATAAACCTTGACAACAAAGGGCCATGATTTGAACCTATTGCCTGAAGCTACAAAGCACGAAGGCCTTCTACAGGGCTGATACCCCAAGTGAAAAGATCCCATTCCTAGTATATATTATTTGTTCCTTCACTGGTGTAGAAAGATCTTTGGTGACAATAGATTGGGCAGCTTCTTCTAGTGGTCGGAAGCCTTCTGAAACCCACTGATGTGAGAGTATCTCCTGGGTCACTGAACTTCCACCATGCCAACTTCAACTTTCTTAGAAAAAGCTCTTGCTGACCCATCCAGGAAGTGGGTGGAATTGGTGCCAATTGGCTCTCAGTGGCATAAGCAGGATTAACCAGTTTGAAGGATCTGCCCCATCAAACAGCCTCCAGAGGTCCTCTGCCCAGCTGTTCAGTTCAAGGGGCTTCATCATCTCTAACAGAGGAGAATCTCTGTAGCTCAGAGTTAACTGTGGAGTCCTTGGGGCTCTCTGAGCTTGGCTGTTTGCTTGCAGATATTTCATTACTCAACTGGGTAGTATCATCAATACATTGATGATGTTACCCAGTCAGGTAATGAAACGTCTCCAAGCAACCAACCAAGCTCAGAGAGCCCCAAGGACTTCATCATCTCTGGCAAGAATGTCAGATGCACCTGCCAAGTCCAAGATGCAGCAAGATCCCTGGGGAAACTGCCAGAACTGGATGAAAGTGCTGCTCTCTTAACCTGGAGAGTGGCGGCTTCTGTAGCCAATCTGCAGACTCCCTTCTACCTGTCAGTCAGAGCAGCTGCTGTGATACAACTGGCCTGTTCTGCCAAAGGCAAATTTTGCATTGTAAGTTCCCAGAGCACAAATGCTGGGAAAGCAGAGCAAAGACAAGAATAAGAACGTTTGTACTTCCAGGCGGTTCTGAGTCTTGTACACAGAGCACCCCAAAGTGACATTCAACTTTGTGCCACAGAGGGGTCCTAACTCTCTGACTGTGTTAATTCACGCACATCCACACACAGGTGTGCGCACACACACACATTCCCATCTTCAGGTCATACGCTCTGCTCAAATGTCAAATTCTGGCTGAGTGCCCACCACCAACTACCCAAACCCATTTTGGTTTCATCCACATGGCATATCTGAGTGTCTGGAGCTGGAAGAGTGGCAAATTCAGAAGCGCAAAAGGGTGGTGAGCAAATCTGGCTGCAGCCAGGCCAAGATTACCCTGTTCCTCCTGTCCCCATCCCTCCATTTCTCTCTCCATCTGTTAGCAAGAGTCTCTGTCATCCTCTAAAAGCAAAAGTAATTTCAGGTTGCACCTGGCTGTTTCAGAGCAATCAACTGCTCTGAATTCATTGTTTAGAAACATGATGGAAAAATAGGAAGGCTGATGCTAACTGGAGGGATTTGAACAAGACAAGTCAATGCTCTTCCCTGCAAATTCCTAACTATTTTGACAAAAGTTGCCGGACTTACAGGTTTGTTATTACAAGAGTAGCCTTTATTTCCATATTGTCAAATTCTCTTAAGAGCTAAGAAGAAATTGGAGTCTGTATATGGCGGCATCCATGGGAGTAGGGGAGGGGATGTAACGCCAACCTGTCAAGAACCTCTGAAGCCCCATGGACAGACGGTCTGAGTGGTGCTCTTAGATGAGCCCAGGCTGTGAGTCACTAACAGGTTCAAGTACTCTCTTTCTCAGGGTCCATCCGCCGCTTAGTAACACATGGACTGTACTGTCCTTACAGTGCTCAATTCCTCCTTTCTTACGCTGAACCCCTCCAGGTATTTGGGCCACAACTTCCATCAGCCAAGACGGCAGAAGGAGGCTGGTTGACACAGCTGACCTAAAGGAAAGGGCTTTAAACGTTTCCCAGCCTTATACAAATGTCAGCATTATTATGTGGGAAAGCACGAAGAAGCTCTGTTTCCAAATTCCAAAGGTAGACTTTCCCTTCTTGCCTTTGTGGATCAATTTCCCTGCCAACATACGCAGCTTAGCTTTTAGATGGAGAGTTTGCAACCAGCCCAATAAATAAAGTCTCCTTTGAGTCAAACCTGACCTCTGGTGACACCTCTGTGCCATTCTCTTGGCCACGAGAGAGAAGAGGCTTGCCTTAGCCTTCCTCAAAGGCATTTTTCCACTTCTCTTCTGTCTACAGCCCTGAGGTTTCTGGTGGCCTCCCATCCAAGCACTGACACCAATCAAGGTTCGCCAGGGACTGTCCCTGCTATGACAATCTTCCAATGCTGGAACCCCAAGCATCCCAGCCCCCTCTGGGAGGTGGTCGTCTGAATGAAGGCATCTGGAGTATAGAGCAGCCCCCTGCCCCCCGGTTGCCCCATGAAGACAAGGAGGCATTTTAGAGTAACTGACTTGCAGCTCTGGCAGCATCATGATTTTCAGCTTTCCCAGATTTTGAATCTGCACCTTAAAATGTACGTCTTAAAATCTGGAACGGGGAGAACATCCATTCTGGTCATGTTCTAGGCTCCGAGAGACCAAAGTCCTACATTCACCTTCAGTGAAAGATCTCAGGAGAGTCTGTGCCACGAGCAGTTGAATAAACGGCATTGTGCCAGTCGTTTCTACACATTATCTCTGGAATCCCTGTAGGGACCTCTGGCAGCCTCAGTTGGTTCACAAGCACACTCCCAGTCTCCATCATTCTGGCTCTTGGAAGCGTGCATTAAATTCCTCCCAAACATTGCTTGGGAAGAAACCCCCAACTGTTCAAAGGAAAGGGGCTGCCTCCGTTTCCCCAAAACTTACAGGTTCGCCGGGGAGACCTCTAGGTCCAACTTCTCCGTCGTCACCCTGTTTGGCAGTAGAAAGGTGGAAAGAAAAGGGAGGGTAAGCGCTAGATTATAAACATGCCTGTCTTGGCTGAACAATACTAGGACACGTCAAGCCACTCGGGGAGTGATGGCACGGCAGCCGTGCATCGGGACAGCTTCATGCACCCAGAGAGGAATACTGGAGACTCAAAAAGCTGAAAGCAAGGCCATCATAAGTGATGGCACCACTGATCCAGTTGAAGTTGCTTAAACAAAAGGTGAATATCAGGTGACTAAATTTGACCCAGGGAGGTCAATCAAGAATGGATCAAGTCACCAGCTGAAGAATTTACAAGAAAAAAATCATTCCCTACAGCTTCCCATCACTCCGAAGATCCTTACTTTCCCTCTGAAGACATAACTTTGTGTACATGTAACTGGTGGTGATAACTGATTTACAATGGCTTTGTTCCCACATATAAGTTCAGTGAGTGATAAACAGACCCACATGAACAGCCCCAAATTTCTTTATGTTCAAAAGAATGTTTGACATAACTCACCCTTTCCCCATCTTCACCTGGGGCTCCTGGAGGACCTGAGGGACCAGGATCACCCTAAAGAGAAAAAACAGCAGCATCAGCCACGTTTTTGATGACCCCCCCAGCAAAAGAAATCCTAGAGTCAAAGGCTGAGAGAACTGCCAGGCATATTCTTCCATAACTGCTGTTGGAGAAGACAGCAAAGCTCTTCACAGATGAGTTCGATATCTCTCCTGTTTCTTTAGATATTTAGATATTTGGAAGTCATTGTGTACTGTATACCCTTCTCAAGGTTGCACTGGGTATGTGTGTAAAGGGCAAGAAAAAACCCTCCACCCGAGAGGTCAGGCCCCGGGTCAGGCCACTTGGGCTCCTCGAGCAGCTCTGGACTACAACTCTGGCCTTCCCTTGTCACTGGCCGCTTTGGCTGGGGCAGGTTGACATGGAAGTCAAAACTCTTGCAAGACACCAAGCTGCTTACTCCTGCACAGGCAGCTTGGACACAGAGAATCCAAAATGAAGTAAAATAAAAGTAGTAATACTGTTAGGAGTGAGGAAAGCAGGGATCCAAAAGGAAGGCAGGGCAGGGGAACCCAAGGCTGCCAAATGCAAATGTGAAGACTTTTGAGGTACCAGCAGGAAAGAAAAGAAGAAAAATTTATATGGGGTCCCAGGTGACCAGTTTTACTGTGGAGCAATACAGAGCGGCCCAAGCTATTAGCTACTGGAGGTCTTCAGAGAGAACTATGGTCGGGGGCCCAAGATCCAGCGCCCTCCTGAGAGGTTTTGTGCCTGGAACCCAGCTGTCCTGGTGGCCCAGGATGGTTAAAAAACACCGGGAATGGTTTGTAAGACTATTATCTGCAAATGAGTTACAGTTTTCTCAGGTTGGCCTGGATGTGTCATTGTTAAAGTTTTCAAGCAGCGTTTGGGGAAAACCTCAGCAGCTTTCTCAGTGTTCCTGGACGAGAACATTATTAAAATCTTCCACTGGAATGCACAGCTGCACCAGGCGATTTCAGGATGGATCCTGGACATTCATTTCCCCCACGAGGTCTGCCTCTAAAGTTTTAAACCCCCAAATCTTTTATAGCACACAAAGATTCTGTGGCAATTTCTGAACATTGAAAAAAAAATGTGGCATTTGATAATAAAACAACCCTGGCCTTAAATGCTCCCTCCCTCCCTTTCCTTGTTATTTTATTACTTGAAAACTGTCATGGATGACTCTCCCACTCCATAACTGAAGCAGAGAAAAGTTGTTGGCCAAGTCACAAATGACAGACCCTGCCACACATGGCCCGCAGACCCTTCCAGGGAAAGACGCTAGTAAAGACGAGAACATCCTCGTCCTCTTCAGTCAGCTCTGAGAAGTAGGCTGTTCAAAATAAAGTGGCTTGCAGCAATAAAAGCCAACCAGAGACCATCTTCTCCTTAGCAACCTGTGGAAAGCAGAACAACGCAAAAATGCATGCAGTGACTTACCCTGTGCCCCTTTTCCCCAGGCAACCCAGCCAGGCCATCAAAACCTCGGTCACCCTGCAAGGAAGGTCAGAGGGAGAGTGACTTCCAGTCCCAAATGGTCCCTTGAGCAAGCATCCTGCCCTCGGCCCCTGACCCAACCTCAGAAGAGGAGGCAGATCATGACCAAGCTCTCAGCAGGCCCAAGGAAGGGCAGGCCCAAGCACCAGTGGAGAGGCAGGATCAGTCCTCACTGCCCTGACTGCCCCAAAGATCCAACCCCGAACTGGAGCCCCAACCATCAGCCTGTGGGAACAACCCCAACTCCAAGCAGGATTTGAGAAGGTGGACAGACAGAGGAATGTGTGATTGTGTATAAAAGTGCCTCGTCTGCTTTTTGGTCTACTTAGTAGAAGGTAACTGCCTCAAGCAGCCTAAGCCTGGGAATCAGGGCCAACTGGTGTCATATCTATTCAGGCAGATGCTGACAACTTCCTATATTTCAGGACCTAACATGCATGGTCAGTCTTCAGTTGTGAAAGCCTCCTTGGGAACTCCAACCCTGGCCTGGTAGTGGCTCTGCTCCCTGCTCTGCCCTGACAGAGGGCAAACCTCTTCCCATGCCTTCCTCTAGCTAAGCTAACAGTGCAAATGCTTGGACTGTTTGCACCAAATGCTCCCACCTGTGTTGCCTCAGAGGGCAAGATTATTTGAACTGCCTGAGACAAGCACGGAGCGCACACAACACGGAGGGAGCACAAAGAAATGAGGTAGGGAGGTAGGGAGGT